ATAAAAAAAAAAAAAAAAATTTGCAGTCATTATTACGGATTTATGAAAGTGTCATGTGTACTATTTGCAGTCGAATGATCACTTGTTAGCATTCCCACCACCCAGACGCTGCTGCTTTTGTCTCTGGTATTGATCAGTGTGGACTTGGATTATTCAGTATTCAGAACCTGTTTCTTCATTTGTAAATTGAGAATAAAATACTTAAACCTGCACCCCCACAGAACTGAAGATCAGATAGACTGTGTAAAGTTCATTAGGAATTGTGAAGTGCTTTGCACATGTAAGCGGTTAGCAATTTGTTTGATCACTAGTTTTAAGGCAAATGTCTATTCTTAAAGATTTAAGATTTTTTTTTTTAACCTTTTAACTTAGAAATCCTTATTAAAAAAAGAAACCACTGCCATCTAGTCAATTCTGACTCATAGCAACCTTGTTATGCAGAGTAGAACTGCTGCATAGGGTCCCAAAGGCTATAAATCTTTATGGAAGCAAACTACTGCATCTTTCTCCTGAAGCAGGGCTGGTGGGTTCAAACTGCTGACCTTTCGATTAGCAGCCCAGTGCTTAACCATGGCGCCTCCTGTGCTCCTTATTGACAAGTTATAATTTTGATTTTAGTGGCTGTAAAATTTATTGTGATCATTGTATGTCATTCTATAAATTCTGTAAAAAACATATTGTCATTTTATGTCTTGAATATTGTAGTTCAAGGCAGTATTTTGCCAATCACACACTTTTAAATCTCTTCTCCAAGATTAATGTAGGTGGAGGAGAACATGGATATTTTTCAGCATAAATCACTAGAAGTTTTGAAATGTCAGAAATACATTGTGTTATGTGTGCAGCCATGTGATTGTCTTGCCAAAAAAAATTAGCTTCAATTGCAAAAGCTGTATGTACTTAAGTGATTGACTGAACAAGAATTACAAACGTAATAAATTATACTCTTTAAATACGTGCAGTTTATTGTACATAATTATACATCTGTGAAGCTAATTTTTTTTAAGAGCAGAATTGCATTTGGAAAAATGAAATTAAGTTTTTACTGACACTGTGTAACACTAAAGCTATAATGTTGTGACCTGGAAATGAGGCAAAGCAGTTAGTTATAAGTATATATCTATGTAGAGGTTCAAAGCACATCTGTTGAATAAATACTAGTTTTGATGGAGGTTTTCTATAGGGAATTTCTTAATTTTTCCTTTTCTCTGTTACCTCAGTATACAGTTAAGCTCATGCTCTCTTTATAATGGGTTCTGAGTGTTAAGTAGTTCCTGAAATTGAGGTTATGAGAAAGTGATAATTAGCTGTCTCTGCAAACTAGCTCATTCTTTAAGGCTTTTCCTAGGGATTGCTCATCTAGATGCCACAATAGGAGAGCTTAAATAGAAAAAAGTTGCTACACTTTTTTTAACAGTTACTTTTGGAGGGGTGAAATATAACATAAATAGAAATGATAAACTTTTGAACATGAATGTTTGTTGGTTCTTGGTAACGTACCTGCAGATGAAATTTGCTTACTCCAGAAGTTGTTTTCATTAACAGGGGTTTTTGGATGCCTGTGAGAAAGGCCCTCTTTCTGGGCACAAACTCTCTGGGCTCCGGTTTGTCCTGCAAGATGGAGCACACCATATGGTTGATTCCAATGAAATCTCTTTCATCCGAGCAGGAGAAGGTGCTCTTAAACAAGGTACGCTGTGTCCTAAGCCCTGCAGCCTTCGTGTGTCTCTTTCCCCCAGTGAACTGTCAGAGCACAGAAGGCAGCTCTCTGTCTTGGTCTTGACCACCCAGAGCGCTAGGCATCACACCAGGGAACAAGAAGCATTAACTACAGTTATGCTATTTTCAGCGGCTTATTCAAGTGGCAGGAAATCCCTAAATTTGTAAATCATTTTTTCATGTGTGACATTGTAGGCTGTAGGCATTTTAAGGATGGCAGAATAGTTTGAAAAAATGTGCTTATTCACAGTGCTAAACTATTAAGATTGCCAGCCCTTACACATAGAACATTATGTACAGTAAAATCTTGAACCAGACCCTTACGCAATTGGACTCTGATACTTTGCTTTTAAGTAAATGACAGTACAACAATTTGACATCAGGGGTATTCAACAAAGGGACTTTAATGTTGTGTCTGGAATCCAGACAATTCAGTCTTTCTTAAGTCTTCCATATTATATAGTAATTTATTAGTAAAGTCTATACATGTTTTTACTTAGGAGAGTGAGATTATGATTCACAAAACATTTCAGAAAAGTTTTCATCAAAGAGGGTTAAACTGGAAAGTAGAAAATTAAATTAATCTTAACACTTCATTTCCTAAGCATTCTGTAAATCAAAATTTTATTGATTCTGTATGCATTTTGGACTTTATGTTGTTTTTAGTCTTATTTTGCATCTGTGATTGGGTATGGGGCAAAGCTTAGAGAATAAGGAAATTCTTTTCCTTGATCAGGTTGCTAATTCATTATTTCATTATTTTTACTCAACTAATTGGAGCCAAATAGTAATTTGTGTTTTAATTCCTCGGTTGTGACAGGGAGATAGAATCCTTCAATTTCTTATACCAGCTCTCTGTTAAATATGCAGTTGAAATCTGTGTACTAGAAATCCTGTCACCGTCTGTAGATTGTGTTAATAGGAGTTAGGGAAATGAAATCACAAAGAAAATAATGCCATGGCTCAGGATAAAGCACTTGCTTCTTGCCCTCTTACCACTTTAATAAACCATAAACTGATAAATTCGTTATAATCGTTCTATATACTTTTCAGAAGTACAGGTAGAACAAGTTAAAAATCACCAGTTGTTTTACACTGGTTCTTTATTGACTAGAAATTAGTAGCTTTCCTAGAGATAGAGGTTAAATTCAGCCAGATAATTGACATGATTAACAATTAACAAAGGACTTCATTCTTTTTAACTACTGGAGTATTTAAATGTTGGGAGCTCTACTGGCATAGTGCCTAAGGCATTTGACTGCTAACCAGAAGGCTGGTGTTTCAAACCCACCAGCCACTCCTTGGAAGGAAGACTGGACAATCTACTTCTGTAGAGATCCATCTCAGAAACCCGAAGAGGGGTCGGTATGAATTGGAATTGATTGGACAGAAGTGAATGTGGTGTTTTTGTTTTTTGTTTTATTTTTAAATATTAATGAGCTAAAATAGACAGGTGTGTGCCATTTTGAATCAGAT